TATAAAGTATAATAACATCATACATAACAAAAAGATAGTACTAAAGAATTAAAAATACAGCAAAAAAAGAGAGTAAAAACTAATAAGGAAACCAATTCATGTAAGTCAAAAATAATAATAACTGCCATTAATTCCTTTTATTAACTCCCAAGTTAATTTAATTTAAAATCATAAACTCTTTAATTAGCTATTAACACTTGCCAATAATTAAAGGGAAATGATTCAAAGACAACAATTTTGTACCACATTTTGATATAAACTTGTCATTTAAATTGTTAACTCTTTTTCTTCATTTGAAATTCATAATATTAAATGCATTCACTTATTTAATGACATATAAAAATTATATAAAAGAATTGTACAAAAAAATTATCTCCACGGTCACTTTCCAAAATTAAATCTTGAAAAGTATTTGAGTTATTACGCTAGCGATTTCTTTTAGAATAAAACTAGCTTTTTTTTTGCTACGCGTTACGCAGGCTTTTTTTTAAAATTTTTTTTTTTTGGGTTTTAATTTTTTTATTAAATTTTATAATATATTGACTTGTAATTAAAAAATTCTAATTAAGTAATTAAATTTGAGTTGAAAATTGTGTTCAGTAATTCGCAAGACTGTGTTTTTAAAAAAATTGTATATAATCATATTAAAAAAGGAATATTAAGAGAATTAAAAAAAATGCTCAATGTTATTCTTTATCTCATAATTTAAATATATTTATTTTTTTCTATTATTATTCTATTTAAAGATTTAGTCAATATTCACTCTTCTCTCAATTAAAAAACTACAATACACTTAAATATGTTCAAATACCTGTGTGTTGCATGTGCATTGCATGAGATCATTTTAATGTTTCTTTCTCAATGTTGTATTAAAAAGTTGATATACCTTTTTAAAATATAACTTAAACTAAGTAATTCAAACATATATATTCTACAATCAAATTTTGAATTAAAAAAATATTTCAAACAGATAATTTAGATTTTGTTGTTAGGAATTGAAAAAATTTTAAGATTTTGTTATCAAGAATTGAAAAAAATCCTAAACTCATTTACAGTATTCTTTTTTTTTTTTTGGCCTGCAATGCTTAATATTCTTAAATATTCACTTTGTAATACCCCAAAATTTTCTAGAATAAATAAGTGAGTTAGGGACTAAATTGTGGAAAAATGTTATTGTGGGGTTTATTAGCCAAAATTTCCAAACTTGAGGGACTTAAAAAGGGAAAAGATTTTGGATAAGGATGGCTTCTTTTCTTTTTCTCCTTTTTCTTCCTCTTTCTTCTCCAGCCCGTTTCTGCTCGTCTTCCCGCTGCAACCCGAGAGGAAAAAAAAGAGGAACCCAGCCATGCCTTGGAAAATTGGTGAGAAAGCTTGGTTTTTGGCCTTCTTTTCTTGTCCAAGAACCTGATTTGGAACCCAGAAATCTTCCCCCCCTGCTGGAAAAGCCGGATCTGCCCTGCTCTGCTTTGTCCTTCCGCCGGCTGCTCTTGATTGTGGGTGATTTCTGGGCATTTTTTCGGTAAGAACAGCCCCTAATTCCTTTGTTCTTGCTTGAATTGCCTTGGGTTAACTTTGATTGCTCTTATTTCCTTCAATTTTGGGTTAAACCGTGAGTCCCCTGCAGAATTTTCCCTTCCATGCCGCCGGCTCTTCCCCAAATTGCAGCTCCGGCCTTGCTTGCTGGATTATGGTATGTGACAGTCATTTAAGCTTAAAATTACCCATTTAGTTTGCTGCTTTGTGATGTCCGAATTTGGCTAAAAATGGGGGAATTCCGGTAGCTTTAGGACCATGATTTAGCTTAATTGAAGTGGGATTTATGCGATTGAGTGTTAATTGATTTCTGTGTGATTTTTGGAGAGAATCCCGTGAATTAGCTAGTGTTTTGGCCAATTTTGGAAGTTGGAGTTACTGTTCACGTCGGGGTACTGTTCACGGGTACTGTTCACCGACACTGTTCACACACCGAGGGCCAACAATTAACGGGGATTTAAATGATTAGTTTGTGATATGAGAACGATTTTGGAGATATGTGACCATGTGGAGATTTATGGAAATAGCATTGTGATTAGGAATGATCCTAATGAAGTGTTCAGTTTGAATGTGTGATACTCCGATATTAATTGTGGATATTTTGATTAAGTTCCCGATCGTTCTGTCAGTTAGTGCGTGAATTGAGTGCTCGGTTTTGTGCGAGTGAGGTAAGTAAAATTATGGTAACGCCCTTTGATTTTAAAAGCATGTTTTGATTTGTTTTTGAAATGGTGGCGGAATTAAACCCGTTTTACACAAGTATGACTGATTTGAAGTGAAATGTTTTATGCTTTTCATTAAATTGAGCATGCCTAGTTGAAATTTAAGTGACTGTCCTGATGATTTGAAAGTGATTGTGAATTGTAATTTTCCTGTTAACTTCTGCTTGTTTTGTCTCCGATGTGGTCATGTTATTTGTGACCCTGCTAGTGGGAGAGGTTATAAACACTAGCACATGTCGGCACTTGTCGATATGTTATTCATGACCCCGTTAGTGGGGGAGGTTACAAACGCTAGCACATGTCGACATGTAGTGATAGAGTCGGTTCGTTCAACCCTGCTAGTGGGGGTTATACACCAGCAAATCGTGTGCCCGCCAGTGGGAGGTTTATAAACGCTGGCCATGACCTATAGAGGAGACGTCTATTTCGTTTCCGTACCCGTATCTGTTTTTCGTGATTATACTTGTTGGCATGCTATAAGTTTAAATAAGGGGCACTCCATATTTACTTACTGAGTTTATCTCATAGTTTTTCCTTGTCTACCATTTCAGTAAGTGAAACCGAGGACGGGAAAACCACGAGAAGTGATGAGTTAGAAGGCTAGCCATTTTGTAAATTGATATAGATTTTAGAAATGAATCATGATCTTGTAAACTAGAGTGTATTTGGAGATTCATGATATCAGAGCAAATTATAAAATTTGATCTTCAGATTTTGTGGATTGTCAGATGTGATATGAAAGTTCTGAGCATTGTGCATTTGTGGGACCCGTCTTACGAGTGCACGGCGTCTGACACGTCCCCGGATTTGGGTTCTGGGGCGTGACACACTTTTTCTTAAGTATGCTTAGTATTCTATGAATTAATATTTTTCATTTCTTAAGCTGTTCTCCCTTAATTTAATAAATATGTAATGGAAAATAATAATAAATATATTGGTTTAATATATATCAAATATTTGGATAAAAAGAAAAAAAGAAATTTACCTAAGCATTTGGAATCTGCCATTTGCAGCTCTTTATGCTTTGGTTTTGATTTGTTGTTGCTGCTAAAGCCACCTCCTTTGGCAGATCCGCTCCTCCTTCAATGCTGCAGCTTCATCTTGCTTAGATTTGCTGCTTTAACAAAATTTTAGAGCTTTGCTGAGCCTTCCCATAAGTTGCTCAGTTTTCTTCTTTTAATCTACAGCTTCCTTAGGGTCATAGATCATATTCAACTTTATGGTGAACATGACTTGATGCATGCCTTGAGTTTTCTTCCTTTCTCAGGCTGCACCCTTCACAGACATATGCCTTCATCACTTGTTGAGTGATTTGGCTAAAAAATGGAAGAGGGCAATTTT